AAGAAGTTAAGGTTCTAGGTTTAAGCCTCAGCACTGACACACAAAAAGTGTAAACACGCGTTCAGTTAGCTAGAGTCATACTATAAACTTAACTTTAAGTTCCTAGAGTTCTTTGTTGAATAGAAAGTTCAGAACTTGCCACTTCTGAACATGTAGTTAAGATTTTGCAGATGTCAGTCACTAAAAGTTTAATGTACTTAAGAGAATTCAGATTTAACACCCACAAACCAAGAATAAAAGACTAACACTCTGATTTCTTCAGAATACACAGAATAAATAATAATGATACCAACAGGGCTGAGAAGGTGGCTCAGTGGTAGAGCCCTTGCCTTGCATGCCTGAGGCCCTGGGTTCAATTCCTCAGCACCACATAAGCAAAAAGAAAAAAAGCCAGAAGTGGCTGTGGCTCAGGTGGTAGAGCGCTAGCCTTGAGCTGCAGAGCTGAGGGACAGTGGCCAGGCCCAGAGTTCAGGCCCCATGACCGGACCCAACAAAACAAAACAAAACAAAACAAATAATGATACCAACATGACTATTTTACAAAGAAATTGTAATTAACTATTAATACCTAGAGAATAACAAGGGCAAACTATGGTGTCATTTCAAGATTTCATACCTGGGTAGAGTCAGAATGTTCAATTTTCTTTTAAGTTCTTGATGTTATTACTTGTTAAGGAACATTACCCTCAAACAGTCATGCACCCAATAAAATTCAACCACTCCAACTCTCACAGCTATTAGAATTGTTATAAACATAAAAGATCCACAAATGTTTTGAGGGCAATACACTCACTGAGAACCTGTTCTGTTGCATTTGTCCTAAAAACCAAAATACAGAATTTGTCACTTTTAACATATATGCTAAGACACGATTCTAAAATTTTAAAGTCTCTAACAGATCAAACCAAAACGTTATCCAAATAACAGTGTTCTTGGTAGAAATTTACACTAATTCAGAAAACTTCCACAGGAAAGCATCGTGGTATGTAATAAAGTAAATACAGAATAAACTACTGTGAATGATCAAAGAATCTAGAGTGGAAATCTACTTCCAACTTTTCCGTATTTTGAAAAATTTCATAACAGAATGTCGGGGAAAGCAGTTTCATTACAACAACAACAACAACAAAACCAGACTTCAAAAACCTTAAGGGCTGAGGCAGGGTTCAGGTGGTAAAGCTCCTGCTGAGCAATTACAAGGACCTGAGAACTGAGTTCAAACCCCACTAAGCAAACCACACAGATACACCGAAAACCCAACCCGCCTTTGTCAGCACATACACTAAAATTGGAACCATGCAACAGTTCGCCTGCACAAGGACGACACGTAAACTTGTGAAGCGTTCCCTACGAAATCTGCTAAGCCAGGCACCTAAGGCCAAACGGAAACGTATTTGGCGCGTTTTTCCCAACGCACGGTAATGCTACTTAGCTCCGAGTGGCAGCACTCTCCAACAAACCCTGGCTACTCACACTTTTCTGCATGCCCCCCCCCCCTCCAAGACCCGCCGGGACTGTGATCCCAGGACCCGCATCTCAGCCCGGTGACCGGGCTCTAAGTACCAGGTTACTTCCCAAGCGACCACCCGACCACCCGGAACATCAAATGATCCAGAGAGCCCCGAGGTCTCACGGAAGCGAGCGAGCGGGCTGGGGATCCGCTACCCGGCAAACAGTCGTGCAATTCACGATCACCCCGAGGGCCGGCGCGCAGCGGGGCCGGAGCCGCGGCGAGGCGCGCGGGACAGCCGCCGGCCCAGGCCGGCCCGAGGCCGCGGCGCGGGCGACGCGCGGCGCCCGGCCCCGCCGCCGCCGCCCCGGGAGGAACTACGTGGAGTTCTGGCCTCCGGAATTCCCGCCGCGCCCCCGCCGGCCCCCGCCCGGCCCCCGCAGGCCCGTGACAGGCCACCGGGCCGGAAGGATATTCTCGGCGCGGAGTCGCTCGATGGTCTCCTCGCACTGCCGGAGCCGCTCCCGCAGCGCCGCGTCGCCCACCCCGTGCTCGTCCTCCACGTCGCCATCGTCCTCCTTGAAGCGGGTGTGAACCGGCTTGGGAGTCGACTCCTTCTGAGGGTCAAATGCCTCGAACAGCTCTAGGTCGCCGAAATCCACCTCCGCCGCCATCTTGAGTGGTGGAAAAGATTGGAGAAGCGGCGGAGCTGGCCACCCGGGTCTCGGGGCGAAGGTATTAGGGCGGTTCCGCTCTCCGGCCTAGCTTACCTCTGCGTTGGCTTTTCTCTCAACGCAGGCCGCCAAAGCCGTACAAGGGGCGGGGCCGGTCCCGGGAGACTACAACTCCCAGAATGCAACGGCGCCCCCTCCATGACCACCACTACAGAGTTTGGCGGGGAGCGCACGCATGCTGGGACCTGTAGTTTCTAGGCCACTGTTACCTCATTGTGGGTATTGTATACTGGGATTGATGAAGAAAGCGGGTCCGGATCTGAATGAGTGAGGACAATATGAGTTGTCAATATGGCATCTAAGACTTGAGCGAGCCACCTCGCATGGCTGATCAGATTATGTGTGCTCGCCAAATGCCAGGTTTGTCACAGAGTACATTAGTGATCTTAGACAAGCTAGCTTGTTGGGCTGTTTTTACTTTAGAAGTAGTTTGGTCATTAGGGTATATTATGTGGTTTCTCTCATTCTAAATATGCATTCACTAACGTTTACCACCTGCAATATGTCAAGCATATCTCTAAAGACCTGAGGATGCCAAGAGTAAGAAAACTTTGTTCTTACAAAGTCAAGCACAATGTGAGAAATACTGTCCTTTCTATCAGAATGTGTTGCTTAAAAAGTCCTGCTTGGCATGGTGGCTTGGCTCTTGCAAAGGAAAAGAACTGCCTCAGATAAGGAAGGATTCCTAAAAGGTTTTGTCTTAAAAACTGGTTTCTGGGGCAGGGAAGGTGGCTCAGTGATAGAGTGCTTGCTTTGCATGCATGAGGTCCTGGGTTCAATTCCTTACCACCACATAAGCAGGAAAAGCCGGAAGTGGCACTGTAGCTCAAATGGTAGAGTGCTGAAGAGCTTTGAGCTGAAGAGCTGAGGGACAGTGCCCAAGCCCAGAGTTCAGGCCCCACAACGACCACCACCAACAAAAAAAAACCACAACAACAACAACAAAAAAAAAACCTGGTTTCTTTTCAGGATGGGATTAGGACACACTCGAGACTGTTCAAGAAACAGTACAAGGTGTGGGTATATTTGAGTTTGCAGTGAATCTTATTTCAAGATCACCTTATGTAAATACATTTTACCCTATTTAAATTGGCCAATTGGGAGCAGACTTTGAACCTGAGTTCAACCAATCTGAGCAGAGGGGTAGGACCTGCTGTTAGGAATGAATATCTCAGCCACTACCTGCTGGATGTATTGTACTTGCTTGCCTGATTTTGAACTAATGGCACACCCTTCTGTACAAATAAATTTTGCCTTACTGAGACTATTCGTGATTTTTATGTCTATCCAATGGTTTTTGGACAGCATGTTTATAACAACAGAGAATCCACAATTATAGATATGTTTTTTTGAGATCCGGTCATCGTGAAGCACTGTTTATCATTATATTTGTGTGGGAAACAAAAGCAGCTACAAAGGTGTTGTAACCCAACAAAAAAAGTCACCAAATTCTTTTATTAAAAGCTCTTTTCGGACGTGTAGAGAATCCTGGAGCCGAGCTCTGAGATCAGGAAATAGTTAAGAGATTGGAATGCAACCTGGTCACAACTCAGAAGGTTGAGAACTGGCCTCTGGAAAGGTCAAACAGGCAAGACAAATGTGTAAGTTACAATTAACTGGACCCTAAGTTGCTTCAGTTAGAGCTGTTTGGACCCTATAAAACTTGAAACTTTGGGGATAAGATGAATGTTTGTATTATGGTTAAATTTACCACTCCCCTCTGCTCCCTAACAATAAAGGAGTCAATTATCATTATACCTCATGTTAATGGTTGTAACAAGATACCCTATTTTCTGCACTTACCTGTGTAGTTATCTCCCCTGTACTGAACTAAAAAAAAAGCTCTCGGGGTTTAGAAGCCAGTGAGCCATAGACTCCCTGGTACCCCAATTATCTATTCTTTTTCTCATTTCTTCAGCTCCAGTATCTCCTTGTGCTGTCCCCAGTTGCTGTTAGCAACAAGACTGGGTACTGGTGGCTCACACCTTGATCCTAGCTACTCAGGAGGCTGAGATCTGAGGATCATGGTTCAAAGCCAGCCCAGGCAGGAAAGTCCATGACTCTTTATCTCCAATTAACCACCAAAAAAACCCCAAGTTACAGATGTTAGCCACACATGCCTGGCTTCACCTTCGTTTTCTGAGAGCATCTATGTAACCCAGCTGGCCTTGAATTCAGGATTGTTTCGGATTTCTATGTGATGGAATTTAAAGGCCTGGATAATCACATACAAGTATAATGCCCATGTGAATTTTTAAGTGTCAATTACAGTGGTTCAAGTCCAGCCTGGGCTGTATAGTAAATTCTAAGCTAGCCTGTCTTCACAGCTCCTAGGCAACCCAGGCAGAAGTCCAGTGGACTCCATTTGCAGTGGCATGAGCCTGCCATTTCCGCAATAACAGGAAACCCAAAGAGTTCACCGGTGGGTTCTTTATCTCAAAGGAGGGCTAGAGACATGCTCAGCAGTACAACGTGTGCTTAGCAAACACCAGTCCCCGACTTAAAATCTCAGTACAATACAACACAACACAAAAAAGAGGCGGGGAGAAGGGTGGTGGTGGTGGGTGCGTTGACACATACACACACCCAGCATGTCTGTGTTGCACTGTGCTTCTTCCTAGGCTGTGAGGTTCTCCAATTTATTTAAGGGTAAACTAGAACATCACTACTTGGTTGTAATGAGAGTGAATTAAGTTTACTACTCTCATCCCCACATCTAGGCCCTTTTTAACGATGACAATTTTTTTCTAGTATTTCAGTTAAGATAATGCTGGAAAAGATTTCAACAGATAATGAGCAAAGTGCATACAAAGGACTTGTTATTATAAGGCACTTTATTAAAATAAAAGTGCTTACATCCCTTAAATGCATTAATCTATTTCCTGAATAACATGGAATAATGAACAAATACTATACACCAATTCTCTTATAATAGTAGGAAAACAGTGTTTTAATAAATTTGTTTGTTCCTTTTTCTTTTACATTTTTTTGCTCACCATGGTATTGCCTATAGCATAACTAATTTAAAAAAAATTCTAGCCAGTGTTTTGTAATTGCAATTGCAAAATGATACAGAAACTAAAATTCAAACAAGAATGCCAGGTTAACTTAAATTTACACCAGTTTTGAGAAAACCATTTTTATTATCATCATCACCCAGCTTATTTGTGCTGGATTATGTACCAAATGGCCAGATCTTCTATAAAGAACATCTACATAACATTTCTTTCATGTTTTCAAGAGATGAAAATAACTGTACAAGGTTAAGTACAAAAGTACACAAGACAGTGAACACGAAAAAAATCTATGTATGAGACAGACTTTATCCCACCTGCAGCTTCAACATATTTGAAAAGTAGAATTCATGAACTAAAAAATATTGTCCTTCTATAGTCCTGTCAAGTTTAATGGAAGTGGGTTTAACCTGATTACAACACTAACACCAGTATCACTGATCTGATATTTACAAAATATCATATTTTTCAATAAATTAAAGTCAATGCAACACCCATGCAAGCTAGAATGCTAGCTGTTTGGTGAACAAGGACCTGACATCAGAACAAGTCTTTAAGGTCCCAAACTTGAAAAGCGTGACATTTCTCAAACCGCATCCATTCCTCTCATCGAAGATGTGAAACCCAAACCCATCCCTCTCTGTGTGTGGGTTTGTGATCTTGCCATCTCATACTGAGCATCAAGATTTCGAAACACTTCTTCTTGTTGCTTCAATGTCTTATAACTGTCTTCATCAACCGAGCTGCATCCAGCTTCATCTTCACTCTAAATGTCAGACAGAAAGACATTAGAATGAATGGTACACTAAGTGATTTTCAATTAAACAGCATTGATGTTACTGATTCTTGGAGTATTGTTTTTTTTTTTTTTTGGGTGGAGTATTGTTAAATCACATTTTCAAGATATATATAACTACATGTAAGCCTCCATATACACCATAAAAAAAAGTAGAAATCAGAACAGAAGTGTTTCAGGGATGGTACAAGATGAGGGAGGGGTGACATTTCCAAGAAATGCATTTAATACCTGACTTATGTAACTGTAACCCCTCTACACATCACCTTTGCACTTAAGTCATGCCTTTTACTTTCTTCTTAGCTCTCCCTACACTGAGAATAAGAGTAGGATAATAGAAAACGCAAATATACATGGGCTTGTTAAAGGAATAGCAGGCTTAGTGAAGCTTAGTTATAGCCTATTATTTGCTCAATAAAAGCAATCCTCTTATTACTAGTAACCTAAGTGTAAGCAAAGGCTAGTATATACTAAAGTTAATTCTCTATACACTTAAATAGTTCAATAAAAACATAGTATCTCACAATCTAAGAGAAGCCAGTAATCTCACACAAGATTCACCCAGGAAACCATGTGTTGGGCGAGACACACCCAAAATCCCAGTACTATAGAGGTTGAGACAGTGAGTTCAAGGTCAACCTGGGCTATATAGTGAACTTGGAGCTAGCCTGAGCTACACGTGGTAAAATTCACTCAAGAAAAACAAACTCAGTCCAGACACAAACTCAGTAATGATCAATTAACAAACATGCTAATTTAAACTGAAAACATACCAAACAGTTAAGGACTATAAGCTTTAGCTAAAAAACCTATAAATTAGTCAGGTGCTGGTGGCTCAAAATCTATCATCCTAACTACTCCAGGAGGCTAAGATCTGAGGAATGTGGTTTAAAGCCCCAGCAGAAAAGTGTGAGATTCTTTTTTTTTTTTTTTTTGTCGGTCGTGGGGCTTGAACTCTGGGCCTGGGCACTGTCCCTCAGCTCTTCAGCTCAAGGTGAGCGCTCTACCACTTGAGCTACAGCGCCACTTCTGGTTTTCTGGTGGTTTATTGGAGATAGGAGTCTCACGGTCTCTCCTGCCCGGGCTGGCTTTGAACCTCGATCCTCAGATCTCAGCCTCCTGAGTAGCTAGGATTACAGGCGTGAGCCACCAGCACCCGGCTAAGTGTGAGATTCTTATCTCAATAAACCAAAAAGCCAGAAGTGGCCCAAGTAGTAGAGCATTAGCCTTGAGCAAAAGCAGCTCAGAGACAGGCCTAAATTCAAGCCCTAGAACTAGTGTGTGTACACACACAGATAGACACAGAGACATGTAGCTGGGCACCCAGATGCTCACAAGCAGGACATAAAAGTTCTGACTCACAGCTGGGTGCAGATGGCTCACACCTGTAAGCCTAGCTACTCAGGAGGATCGTGGCTCAAAGCCAACACGGGCAGGAAAGTCTGTGAGACTTTATCTCCCATTAGCCACCAGAAAACTGGAAGTGGTGCTGTGGCTGAAGATGAAGAGTGCTTGCTTTCAGTTGAAGAGCTAAGGGACAGTACCCAGGCCCAGTGTTCAAGTCCCATGGTTTGAAGCCAGCACTTTTTGTTGTTGTTGTTGGTCATGGGGCTTGAACTCTGGGCCTGGGTGCTGTCCCTGCGCTCTTCAGCTCAAGGCGAGCACTCTACCATTTGAGCTACAGTGCCACTTCCAGTTTTCTAGCTGTTTATTGGAGATAAGAGTCTCACGGACTTTCCTGCCTGGGCTGGCTTGGAACCGTGATCCTCAGATCTCAGCCTCTTGAGTTGCTATGATTACAGGCATGAGCCACAGGCACTCCGCAAAGCCAGCACTCCTATCTTCAATTATCTACCAGAAAACTAGAAGTGGCACTGTGGCTCCACCAGTGCTCCTACTACTTGAAGTCAGGGACAGCACCCAGGAATGAGTTCAAGTTTCAGGACTAGCATCAAAAAAGCAACAATAGCAAAAATCTGGAGAACAAATAGCAAAGTACGAGAAAATATAATACTAATCAATACTTTTAGGTTGAAAAGTAATGTTGCTATGAAAATAGTTCATATCAATCTTAACAAAGTGTAACTTACCTTAATACCCATTAATTTCCTAAATTTGACATTTTGGTCCTTGTTTCCAAAATTCAACTTCTCCCATATTTCAGCAGACTGGGATTTGTCCTGTTAAGAAGCATTAATTTTAAAATACTAAAGAATTTAAAGGCTGGGGAGGTGGCTCAGTGGTAGAGTGCTTGCCTTACATGCATGAGGCCCTGGGTTCAATTCCTCAGCACCACATAAGCAGAAGAAGCCGAAAGTGGGGCTGTGGCTCAGGTAGCAGAGTGCTTTGAGCTGAAGAGCTGAGGGACAGCACCCAGGCCTAGAGTTCAGGCCCCATGACCGACCCTACCGCGTCCCCCCACCCCCACCAAAGAATTTAAATACTTTTCAGAATTCCCCACAACACAGTGAAAGAATCATTTATAACATGCTTAAAGAAATATTTAATGGCAGTACTAAGGCTTGAATTCAGGGCCTTGTGTTTTCTAGGCTCTACCACTTCAACACACACTCCACCCTTTCTGCTTCAGTTACTTTTGGATAGATTTGGACAGTGTCTCTCATTTTTGTCCAGGGCCAGCTTTGGATCTTGATCCAATCACTTATCCTTCTAAGAAACCCGAAATTACAGACAAGTACTACCACACCAGGCTATTGGTTGAGATGGGTCTTGCTAACTTCTCTTGCCCAAGATGGATTTGAATGGGGATATTATTTCTGATCTGCCTAGCTGGCCCACATTTATGGCATATTCTCTTGTAGCTCAGGGTAGAGCACTTGCATGGTTACATGCAAGGAGTCGGTTTGATTTCTGACATTTAACAAAAGATAAAAAGAACTTACCCCTTCTTTCTTGCCTTGCCAAAGCATTTTCCTTTTTTTCTCTTGCTCAGCAAATTTCATAGGGTTCACAGCTGCTGGGTTGTAATAGCTGGGCACAGCTATTCCTGTTTCTGCCAATGCTTTTGCTTGTAGCGCTGCCATTTGAGCTGCCATCGCAATCTGAGGAGTCACTTGTGTCCCTGATGCCAAGAGGGCAGCAACGTTGAGAACAGAACCTCCTGTGGCTGCGGCGGCTGAAGAGGACGGAAGCATGGGTTTATAAAGACACAAACTTCCTAGTTTAAAACCAAAATAGAATGCTTACAATATTTTTGACTCTATTGTAACTGCACATGGTGCCTATGGTGTCTGTCACATGGAGATTCCCTCCATACCAGGGCTTAAAAAATTCAGAGCCCTCTTCTCCCTTGCTTGCTTGTTCACAGACCTGGAGCCCTACAACTTGAGCCACAACTCTAGCCTAGCCTTTGGTTGGTTGTTCTAGAGATGGAGTCTTATGGACCATCTTGCATGGTGTGGCTTTGAACCTCAATCCTCCGGATCTCGGTCTATAGAGCAGCTAGGATTTACAGGCTTGAGCACTTTCATTTTTTTCTTTTTTTTTTTTGTCGGTGATGGGGCTTGAACTCTGGGCCTGGGTGCTGTCCCTCAGCTCCTCAGCTCAAGGCTAGGGCTCTACCACTTGAGTTATAGTGTCACTTTTGGTTTTCTAGTGGTTAATTGGAGATAAGTGTCTCACGGACTTTTCTGCCCGGGCTGGCTTTGAACCATGATCCTCAGATCTCAGCCTCCTCAGTAGCTAGGATTACAGGTGTGAGCCACCAGCACCCGGGCTTGAGCACTTTCTTAATTAAATTTCATATGAAACCAAGTTCTAGGTGACAATCTTCTTCCATCCATGTTTGTGTTGTTGAAAAATTCAAATTCTTTGTTTATAAAAATACTGATTTGGCAGACACCAGTAGTTCACACTATTCAGGGAGCTGAGATCTGGGGAGCACAGTTCAAAGCCAAGACAGACAATGAAGTCAGAGAGACTCATCTCTAATTATTTCCAAAAAACTAGAACTAGAGCTGTAGCTCAAAGTGCTATGAGCAAAAGAACATCAAGAGTGCTCAGATCCTGCTCTCAAGCCTCAGGACTGGCAAAACCAACGAACTAACAACCAACCAGAGTAACTTCCAATATATGATCTTCTTTTTATATTTTAAATATTGAGGGTACAGTTATGTGTCACTATACCCAGCCAAAAATCCCAAATTCTTAAAAATCAGCACAAGAGGACAGAAGTGTTATATCAACAGCCAAGGATTCACTTGCCATAAAAACATCTGCGTAAGTCAAATATAAAAATACATAAAAGGACTGGAGCTTGGCAGACCTAAGGTCCTGGGTTCTATCCATAGCAAAAAAAAAAAAAAAAAACCATCAGCAGTTCATGATGTAAAACAATGTTTACAAAACTGCATTAATAAAGAGGAGTGTTTTTTGTTTTTAAAATTTATTTCCTTCCTTCCTCTTTTTCTCTTTCCCTCTCTTTGCCTGGGTAGTGTCCCTGAGCTTTTGCTGAGGCCAGCACTATTTACCACTTGAGCCACAGTACCACTTCCAGCTTTTTCTGTGTATGTGGTACTGAGGAACAGAATCCAGGGCTTTATGCATACTAGGCAAGCACTCTACCACTAAGCAACATTTCCAGCTCTGTTTTGAGAACACCCCACATCCATCATCATAAATACCTGCAGCAATTTCTTGTTGTTTTTGTTTTTCAACCATTTCCTTTTCTCTCTGTTCTTGTAACTTCTTTGCCCTTTCCAATCTGTCAAAGACAATTTAAGTAAATTTAAAGTAACAATATAAAACCTGCATGTATCATTATACTTGTAAGGAGACAATACAATTTTAAGTTGTAAATGTTTAACAGGCTCCTACCAAATTATTGAAATGAGAAAACAATCAGTTGAAAGAACATTTCAATACTGTTTTTATGTTATCTATTGGGAACTCACTGTTGTTCTGGCTGGATTATCTATATCTATTGAAAGCTTGCATTAAAACAACAAGAACCAAACACCAAGACCATAAAATAGCAATCAAAATAAGTCATTCTTTATAATCTTAATGGCATGAGGATGAGGGTAAGCAGTTGGGACTGCATTAGAATTATTTTAGCAAGTGAAGAAATTAATCATTAGCAAAGGACCTAACAAAATATAAATTCATCCTCAAATTAAATAAAAATGAATTCTATCACACATCAGTAAAAACACATATCCAGTACATTTGTCCACTTTATCTACCTTAAAACACACAGTAACTAACAGCTTTGTAATCAATTCCTGAAAGAGAAATCTCTTTTCTTCACACAGATTCCTTGGTTACCAATCATAAATAAATGCTGCCCTTCCTCCTTAATGTGGTACAAAGAGGTAGGATTGGGGAAGAAGCTATTGTTATATTTTAGGGACACATGTGTAATAAATAACAGTATTAAGTGTCATTTAACAACTACTTAGATTTATGTGAAGATACATTTTAATAAACTATAATCTTACTCCTCTCATCGAGCACATATTCAGGAAACAAACATAGCATAATCTCGGTTGCCCTCAAGAATCAAAGTTTTATTTTCTTCTTTTATGCCTGTCCTGGGGCTTGAAACTCAGGGTCTGGGTGCTGTCCCCGAGGCTCCCTGAGGTGTCTAACTCTATGACTTGAGCCACAGCTCTACTTCTAGCTTTTTTTTTTTTTTTTTTGGGGGGGGGGGTATTCAATTAGAGATAAGAGTCTAAAGGACTTTCCTGCTGCCTGGGTTGGCTTTGAACCATGATCCTCAGATCTCAGCCTCCCGAGTAGCAAGGATTGCAGGAAAGAGATACCAAGGCCCAGTTAAGAATGAAAATTTTTGATTAGGGTAATAGTGAAATAGAAACAGTGAAATAGAAACAGCTTTTTAAATTGACAACTAAAAACAAGAGCAAAGAAAAAAATTCTTAACACAACGAAGTTTCTTATTAACAAAATGACTCCCTTTAAATTTTGAGGATGCTAAGGAATAATCTTGCATTTGGAAATTAGTGGATTTTGTGTAGTTGTCCCACCTTAATGATCAATTAAGTAACCTAGGTCAAAATGTTTTACTAGTAACTACTCCAACTTTAAACTCCAGAATGAAAACATAATTAATGGTATACAAGAGTAAATTTGGGTCCCAGAAAATACTTGCTAGCAAACCATTTAGTATAAATCAGTCAGATTTTGTAGTAAGTCACTTTCTGTGTTGATTTTAGTGTCAGAAACAAAATATAAGCGACTAGTATGGGTTGCATTAAACTGGCCATTGCAGGTTTGCACTAACACCATTCACTAAAGTGAATGGAATGAAGAGGGGTGAGCTCACACCTTTGCTGCTGCTGTTCAGCTTGAATTTCTGCCAGGCTGGGTTCACAGGGCAGCAGCATACCAGGTTACATTGTGATAACTGTATTTTTATAATGAAAAAAAATACAAACTCAATTTCTTAAAGAAAAAAACCCCAAATCCAAAGAATTTAAATTTCAGAATATGCGAAAAACTGCAAACAAGCACTTGGAGTTTACTTCATTTCCTGTTTCCTTTGAGGCAGCTCTTTGAATCAGTTTACAGACACTATTCAGACAACTGTGCTGTACGTGGTCTCATAACCACTTGTTCCTAAACAGTAGAAAAGTTAAGAAATCTTTTCCCTATGGTAGGTAACAACTTGGTTTTAATGTATCTATCAGCTGCCACTTTAATCATGAAGGCAAAGATCTTATCCTAGTTATCAAATAAATGAGTGTGCAAAGATTTTAAACTGGGCTAGGGGACGTGGCTTGCAAATGTGAGGCCCAGTCCAAACCCATTATTGCCAAGACAAAACAAACAAAAAACCCTATAAACTATGTAGCTCCACATTTACAAAGATGCCACAGTACCTATGATTAGATCATGTGAATTATCCAATGATTTAAGAGCACTAATTTTATTCATGTAACTGAGTATTATTGAAAAGGAGAAAATGAAGTAAACGAAAAATATACATACCTCCGAGCTAATGCTTCTTGTGCATCCATTGCTGTGTTTCTGCCTCTGAAGGGAGGTGGACTAGGAGTCCGGCTTAAACTCCTGCTGAATCTTCTCGGCTTTTCAATTCTCTTCTTCCTATCTCTGCAATGAACAGTATTTTACATGTTTCATATGGCCGAACAAAACAGAAATCAAATAAAAACAAAGTCTAAGACTAGACTTAAGAGATGATTCCTTTTGTAAGTCAATGAGGAATGACAGGGGATGCATTTTTAAACTATAATGAATTTGTAATGTTTTAGACAATGCCAAGTTATGAATTACTAAAACATAAGAATTGGGCTGGGAAGGTGGCTCAGTGGTAAGAGCGCTTGCCTTGCATGCCAGAGGCCCTGGGTTTGATTCCTCAGCACCATATAAACAAAAAAAGAAAAAAAGCCGGAAGTGGCGCTGTGGCTCATGTGGTAGAGCGCTAGCCTTGAGCTGAAGAGCTGAGGGACGGCGCCCAGGCCCAGAGTTCAGGCCCCATGACTGGACCCCCACCCAAAAAAACAAACAAACAAACAAACAAAAAAAACGTAAGAATTAACAAAGTGGGGGAAAAAGTTACTCCCCCCCAAGTAAAAATTATCATAGCAAAATCCGGGAACGTCATAATAAACAGAAATGCTCAAGAAATAATTAATGATTACCTCCCTTTACCTCCAATTCACTCTTTCAGAATTGGAAAAGTTCAAAATAATATACTACAGACTAAACCAATGAGTTAAGATTATTAACTCTAACTAACCAATCACCAAAAATATAGAAATGGAACTGTGACTCAAGTAATGAGAGTGGTAGCCTCCACCAAAGCAGGTTGATAGCTAGGCGCTGAGTTCAAGTCCGAGGACAACCCTCACACAAGTTCAAACAAATGATTAAAAAAAAATAGTTTTGTGTTTTTTTAAACTTATTTTTCAGTTTATTTTTGGTGCTGAGGCTGCGATTACACCACGGTCTTACACTTGCAATGAAGGTGCTCTACCAAACTGACCAAGAACCCCATCCCTTTTGCTTTTTTTTTTTGTCGGTTGTGGGGCTTAAACTCTGGGCTTGGGCACTGACCCTCACCTCTTCAGCTCAAGGCAAGCGCTCTACGGCTTGAGTCACAGCGCCATTTCCGGTTTTGAGTGGTTCATTGGAGATAACGGTCTCAGAGACTTTCCTGCCAGGGCTGCTTTGAACCATGATCCTCAGATCTCAGCCTCCTGAGTAGCTAGGAGTATAGGCATGAGCCACCAGCGCCTGGCTTTTTTTTTTTTTATAGGGACTCCCTTTTGAACTAGAACTCTGGAATTTCTCTGCCCTGGCTGTCTTCAAACCTCAATCCTCAGATCTTAGGTCCCCTGAGTAGCTAGAATTACAAGTGTGAGCCACTACCACCCAGCTTATTTCAATTCTTCATAGGTAAGTTACTTATTAGTTTCTTTAACTCTAGTAGACTAAATGCACAATGGCTCCTTTGAGAATTAGTTGAGATAATACATACAGTGTTAGCACATACCACACACTGGCCATCCAATGATTAATTCGTAAATACATTTTTATCCACTGAATCTAAGCTTCCTAAGTATCTAGAATTATAGGTATGAATCTCTGGTGCTCAACTCAGAGAAATGTATTTTAATAGAATTATTAAAGTACTGACTCTAAGTTATATCCTAGGGTTTGTTTTTACTGATGAAGCTGAAGTTATAAACATTTTGTTTAATCTGTAAATAAAACTGTGCTTTACAATTCTGGTATTCTCAAACTGATGGAAGATGGACTCTTTGAGTGACCTATCAGATTTTATTCAGATTATCATGTTACTTACCGACTTCTACTCCTTGTCCTGCTCCTGCTTCTAGTCCTATGCCTATGTCTTGATCTTGAGCGGGAACGGGATCTGATCCGTCGTTTTCTTTCCCTGCTTCTGGACCGAGACTTCTTTCTTTCCCTGCTTCTGGACCGAGACTTCTTTCGCTCTCTGCTTCTGGACCGAGACTTCTTCCGCTCTCTGCTTCTACTACGATGGCGCCTAAAATTCAAATGCACAACCTTAGTTTTCTTTTCCTTCTTTTTGTGACAAGGTCCAAAACATTAATCCCAGGCCAATTTAAAATTTCATCCAACCATTTACATTTGTGCCTCACAATACTATACATTGAATGAATCTGACATTACAAATATATTGCCCACAGAATTCTCCAAAAAAAGGTTGAATACTGGTTTCTTTTTTTCTGCCAGTCCTGGGTCTTGACCTCTGAGGTGCCTGGGTGCTGTCCCTGGGCTTCTTTTGATCAAGGCAAGCACTCTACCACTTGAGCCACAGCACCACTTCTGGTTTTTTCTGTGATTAATTGGAGATTAGAGTTTCATGGACTTTCCTGCCCGGGCTGGCTTCAAACCTTTGTCTTCAGATCTCAGCCTCCTGGTAGCTAAGATTATAGGCTTAAGTCCCTGGCACCTAGCAAATATTGGTTTCTTTCTTTTTTTTTTGTTAGTCATGGGGCTTAAACTCTGGGCCTAAGTGCTGTCCCTCAGCTCTTCAGCTCAAGACTAGTATTCTACCACTTGAGCCACTTCTGGATTTCTGGTGGCTTATTGAAGCATTTCACGCTTTTCCTGTCAGGGCTAGCTTTGAACTGAAATCCTCAGATATGAGCCTCCTGAGTAGCTAGGATTACAGGCATGAGCGACCAGCGCCTGGCTGAATACTGCTTCTTTTAGTGTGAGTACATATGTATGTCAGTACTGAGGCCTAAATTTGCCTTTTTCCCCTCTCACAACTGTTGTTCTACCACTTAAGTGACACATTTCTACATCCAACTTTTTACTGGTTAATGAAGCTAAGTATCTCATGGTCTTTTCTGCCTGAGCTGGCTTCAAACAAAGATCCTCAAATGTCAGCCTCCTAAGTGGTTAGGATTACAGGCATGAGCCATTGGCAAACAGCAAACAATAGTTTCTAAAAACAAAACCCCACCAAACTAGGATCATGACCTAGTTTCTCAAAAACCTTTCTAAAAAATCTGCAAGAAGCCGGGCGCTGGTGGCTCACGCCTGTATCCTAGCTACTCAGGAGACTGAGATCTGAGGATCGCGGTTCAAAGCCAGCCTGGGCAGGAGAGACCATGAGACTCCTATCTCCAATAAACCACCAGAAAACCGGAAGTGGCGCTGTAGCTCAAGTGGTAGAGCGCTCGCCTTGAGCTGAAGAGCTGAGGGACAGCGCCCAGGCCCAGAGTTCAAGCCCCATGACTGACCAAAAAAAAAAAAATCTGCAAGAAAACCTAGATAGGGATGCTAATGTGGCTTAGTGGTACAGTGCTTCCCTGGCATGCATGAAGAAGCCCTACGTTAAATTCCTTAGTACCGCATAAACAGAAAAAGCATGAAGTGTCACTGTATCTGAAGTGGTAGGGTGCTATCCTTGAGCAAAAGCTCAGAGACAGTGCCCAGGCCCCGAGTACAAGCCCCAGGAGTGGCAAAAAAAAAACCAACAGCCGGGTGCTGGTGGCTCACGGCTATAATCCTAGCTACTCAGGAGTCTGAGATCTGAGGATTGTGGTTCAAAGCCAGCCCGGGCAGGAAAGTCCATGAGACTCTTATCTCCAATAAAACCACTAGAAAACCAGAAGTGGTGCTGTGGTTCAATCGGTAGAGCGCTCACCTTGAGCTGAAGAGCACACAGAGAGCGTCCAAGCCCAGAGTTCAAGTCCCATGACCAACAAAAGACAAAAACAAAAAAACACCCAAAAACCTAGATAAAGCTGGTTGTCAGTAGAACCCTCCTGCAATCCTATCCACTTGTCAAGTTGAAATTGAGTTTCCGGGTAGATGTATCACCCCTCCCCCACCTCATCACAAAGGAAGAAGTTAGATGTGGTGGCTTGTGCCTGTCACACCAGCTTAAGAGTGGTAATTTGGGTGCACTGCAATACAGGCGAGTGGCAATGCAAAAATCAAGACCCAAATCTCAAATTATTTAGGAAAAAAAGGGGGGGCTGGGAATATGGTTCAGTGATAGTCCCTGCCTACTGGCTTCAGGTCCTGAGTTCAAACCACAGTATTGGTAAATAAAAAAATCCTAGTTAAGGACCCAATATATTCTACATCAATGATGTTGTAGCATTAATTGGTTTAAACTGTATAAACAGTTTAGCAAGGGGCTGGGAAGGTGGCTCAGTGGTAGAGCGCTTGCCTTGCATGCATGAGGCCCTGGGTTCAATTCCTCAGCACCACATAAGCAAAAAGAAAAAAGCCGGAAGTGGCGCTGTGGCTCTAGTGGTAGAGCGCTAGCCTTGAGCTGAAGAGCTGAGGGACAGTGCCCAGGCCGAGTTCAGGCCCCATGACCAGACCCAAAAAAACAAAAAGTTTAGCAATAAAATTGTGGCTGGGAAGGTAGCTCAGTGGTAGAGTGCTTGCCTTGCATGCATAAGGCCCTGGGTTTGATTCCTCAGCACAACATAAATAGAAAAAGCCGGAAGTGGTGCTGTGGCTCAAGTGGTAGAGCGCTACCCTTGAGCTGAAGAGCTGAGGGACCTCATCCAGGCCCAAAGTTCAGGCCCCATGACTGACAAAAACAAACAAACAAACAAAAAACAAGAAAAGCAAAGCACAAAAAGCTCTTGGACAGCAAATATGTCAAGGTATCAAGAAATGATCAATTTCCTAAGGCCAAGTACACAATAATCCCAGGAGGAGGAATGACAGAGATCATAAGATTATTTCAGGATAGCCAAGGCAAAAAGTTAGTGAAACTGCATCTTAATACTCTGGACATGGTGGTGTGTGCCTGTCATCCAAGACATGTGGGAAGCATTAAGTAGGAGGACTGAAGTCCAGGCAAACTTGGGCCAAAAGCCTGAGAGTATGGGCCAAGTGGTACAGAGTGTCTGCTTTAGCAATCTGATGCCCTAAGTTCAAATATCACCAAAAAGGCCAATTTCCTAATGAAGTCTAGGCATGGTGTAATATGGCTACTAAAATTTTAAGATGGCTTTAACTATATAATGAGATTTTAGAAACTAAAAGAATTTTTTGTGTTTGTGATGAAGTTAGTAAGATGCTTTCTGCAACTTCATGTTATTGGAAGGCACTTTTAAAATGGTAACACTGAAACTACTTGCCTTTCGCGGGACCTAGATCTTGAATGACTTCTCCCTCGTGATGACTTCCTTTCTTTGCGTTTATGTCTGTCCTCACCATTTTCAGATGAGTTTAGTCGTTCTCGTCCTTTATCAGAAGAATGCTCTTTGTCGTTATGTTCCTCAGACTTGTGTTTCTTAGAGGATTTATCTTTGGATTCATGTCTTCTTGCCTGTTTTAAGAAGAAGTTGGTTCTTTCAGGAAAATAGTGCAACAAAAAGAGTTAGTATGGGTATCAGAAGACAAAAATGTTGTGATGCAACATTAGTAACCTTAGGAGCGTGTGGCAAATAAAAAAAAAAAACCCTCTAGTTTCACATAACCCAAATGTTGTAGATGTAATTACTAATGTTTTTCTTTATAAACATCAAAAATGTAATTTGCTCCCCTAAATATTTTGAAGACCACCAAGCAATATTCAAAACAGAAATACTGAAAATCCATTACACCAAAGAGGAATCCCTGATGTATATTTTATGTAAAAGAATGCAAATCATGTATATACATCAACTTCTAGATCCAGAATACCTAATAGTACATTTAAAATTTAAGTAATAATGGAGTTACTAAGAATAAATGCATCAGAAGGGCATTTCTAATTAAACAGTGAAGTATAATTAAGTTTACTAAAAGGAATATTTTCTAGCACAGTAGTATCCCTTAGCCAAGTCTTTTGTTTTAATGTCTAAACTGAAGTAATTACTATTCCTATAATACCTTTAGTAGCCAGAGGGTTTTATTACATTTCCTGCACTTAAGGTAGAAAATGGCAACTTCATTAATTTTCAAGAAATCAAATCACACAATCACAAAGTCATCATGTAATGCACACTCTGAAAATTTGAAACCAAGTTTTTCACATCATATGCATTCAGAGACTTGGCTAAAATCAACTCCAAGATTAAGTCTCCATCCTACCACTGCAATACCAAAACCTGTAGTACGTGCTAAGTATTACAATTTCCCTCATTAGGATTTGTTAAACTCATCTTGTACTTAAAAGCTTAAAATCCCAAACTTCTCATGATCATGAAAATTTAAATCCACAAAGAAACTTAGATCCTAATTTCATCCTCTTACTCTATATTTAAGTTCAACTAAGATCTGTAGACACCTAACACTGTAGTTGAACTGCACCTGGAACCCATGATTTTCTGATGCCCAGGCCACTACTTCATTACCATATAACATTTACTTCTCAAAAATAGGTCATTGTCATATTTCTTTCAACTTATGATTAACTTTTCTTAAAATAAAAAAACTAGCCAATCATTTGGAACATGCATGATGATAATATATCTGAAAACAATCATGGTCATTTTTATTTTGCAGAAAAAGAAGAGACCTGGAGACAAAAACTAAATTTTAGTTTCATGACCAGTTCTCTATAATATGACCTTAAGAAAAAACTTCCTTTACGTTTGCCATTTTAATGGCAGCCTAGAAAAACTTTAAATGGTTAAACTTCCAGAGGTTTTAGCGCTTACTTCAAATTTCAAACATAACATTACTATTAATTTTTAAAAAGCATTAAAACCCTTAACTGATTTAAGATATATTTAAGGGAAATAGGAGTTTGAATGACTAATAGTTACCTTATCATGAAGTAGGCTTATTATTTTGCTATCTGAGTCTGCAGCGTCTTCAGTTCAGTCTCTTCGCGCATTAGCACGCTGAGTATGATTTATTATAGAAATGTTATCATGTGAGCTAAACAAATAGTCATTTTCATAAAAACTCTCCTACATTAAAATTTTAACAGAGCTTCCATTAAGGGGGTGGGGGGAGGTGAAGTCCCTGCTTATATTAGTTTTAAGAATCCCTTGCCCAGCCCCCATCAACTCTTCCCTTTGTTACTTTGCTCTTCCTTGTTGGCTTATTCCTTAAGTTCTCAGGTGGGAAAGGCTACTTAACTGCCCTGCAACAGTCAGTCTTGCCTCTTCAAGTCACTGCCACCTTCCAGCTGTCACTTACATACCTTTATGGTTAATTGAATACTAGTAGAGCAACTGAATTAGTTGTACTAAAGAAGAGAGAACTCTCATCATCTTTTCTGAAGAAAAAGTAGCTCACACCTAACTAGTGTACTGATACCTTTTAAAGGCTAGCTCTAAAACTCCTGAGCAGTCGTCAGGCATGAGACAACTCAGGACCTCATGGTAATGGAAGCTCTGTGTGACCGGCTAGAAAACCAGTAATATTCTTCATATGAAAATTTTATTGTGAGTATTTTCTCACAATACACCAAAATTAAGTTTCTGAAGATACTTTTCACATGAATTATGTTCTGGAAAAATGATGAATCCAAATCATGCTTATTTTATATAACCCAATTAAACCTTTAAAATCTCAAGTTTTGGTACTTACCTTCGCAAGTCACACAGTCACACAAACATTTCTATCAGACAGTTTCTAAGTATTTTAAATTACCTATTCACTACAAAGTTTTAATTACCTCTTTGCTTCTGCTCCGGCTCCTATGTTTTCTTCCTTCATTATCTGTGAACACACAATATAAAACATACCATAAACAAAGATGTGGAAACCCTGTATGTTATAACAATTCCAACACTGTATAAAAACAATTTCCAGAATATTTGGTTAATTACAGACTCTAATTTCTATTTATCCTCTAACTTCTATTCTTTATATGGAAGAGTAAGATTATTCTATATTAACAGTGTGTATGTGAAGGAATTAAATAACCTTTCAACAAACCATAGAATAACCAAGAATATGTAATACTTAAATGTAGAAACAAGGGTTAGATGGCTAAAGTTTAATCACAACTTTAAAACTTAAGAGACTAGCGTCTTGGCTCAAGTGTAACAGAGGGGCTGTCTAACAAGTGTGAGACCTTGAGTTCAAACAATAGGCCCATCAAAAACTAACATAAAATTTCAGTACTAGTTTACATCTCACCTTACCTTTTCAAGGGATATTTTTGTTGTTATTTGTTTCAGGGTGCTGGGGATAAAAATCAGATCCTTTTTTTTTTTTTTTTTTTTTTTTGGGTCCGGTCGTGGGGCCTGAACTCTGGGCCTGAGCTCTGTCCCTCAGCTCTTCAGCTCAAGGCTAGCGCTCTACCACTTGAACTATAGCCCCACTTCCGGCTTTTCTTTTCTGCTTATGTGGTGCTGAGGAATCGAACCCAGGGCCTCATGCATGCAAGGCAAGCGCTCTACCACTGAGCTACCTTCCCAGCCCCTCAGATCCTTTTATGTGATAGGAAAGTACTCTACCACTAAAAACCAGCACAACTCTGAGTTTTAAAAAATACCAAATGGGCTGGGGATTTAGCCAAATGGAAGAGCACTTGACTGGCAAGGGCCAGGCCCTAAGTTCAGTCTTAAGATTGGGGGGGAGGGGGGTGGTGGTGGGGAAGGGGGGGGGCACATTTGTAATCCTAGCTGCTCGGGAGCCTAAGATGCAAGAACTGAAGTTCAAAACCCAACCTGAACAAGAAAAGTCCATGAGACCCTTATCTCCAATAAAGTACCAAAAAAAACAAGTAGAGCTGTGGTTCAAGTAGTAGAGCACTAGTTTTGAAAAAAAAAAAAAAAAGCCATCAGAGTTAGTGCCCAGGTCAAGTTCAAGCCCCAGGATCCACACGTACATGTAAGCGTGTGCGTACGCGCACACAGGTACATGCACACTTCAACACCATGCCTTCTGTTTGTTTCTTTCCCCTCTCTCCCTTCCCCAAAGTACAAGAATATGCAACATTTAGGAATATTAAACTTCTTGCTTCGGAAACATTTTAGCATAGGCTTGGATATATATAGCTCAATGTAGATAGTGTAGCATGTGCAATGCCCTTGTTTCAGGGCTCATCTCTGGGGAAAAAAAATCTGAAAATAGGTTCCAATGAAACAACAAAAATTGAAAATATTCTTATTTACTTCAAAAGATGTCAAAGTTCAAAATAATGTATTACTATCTAGACTATACTTATGAAGTCTGGACACCCACAAGATAGTTGGAATACTATTTTGCCAATGCTGATAGATTTAATTGCAAATATCTGAAGTTAATATATCTGCATTGGGACATTTTAGTTTCTCACAAGGAAAAAATTCTCCAGAAAATAATCAATATATCTTTATTACCCATTTTCAATTAGTAGGAGACACATTAATTTTACAAACCAAATTTACTTCTTACCCGACTTTCGTTTTCTTTCTCTTGACCTTGATCGTGATCTTGAATAATGATGTTTTGAGGCTCTAGGAGAAACAGATACATCTGACTGTTCTTTTTTCTTTTCATTATCTGGGGATGTCTTTTCTGGGACTAGTCCATCTCGTTCTGTATCACTAGCCTAAAAGTTAAAAAAAAAATTAAAGATCTCAATTTACATTTAAAATGACACCAATTTCTTTTATCTTTTTGAGGGAGAGCCTCCCTATATAATCCAATCTGGTCTTGAACATGTGAACTTTTTACTTTCCCCATCCTCAATGCTAGGGACTATAGGTCTATACCACTAGGCCCTGCTGTTTCCAATTCCTTAAAAGGGTGAAAAATGAGGATAGTTACCCTTAAGTTCCAGCCAAAATCAATCAATCAATCAGAACAACTAATTTCCTAGTAGGGATGTGTGTGGTAGAATAAAAGAGGCATGACACAAAATGGCTAATTTGATATCAAAGAGATGTGTGTAATTAAGAGTTCAATTTCTAAATTATCACTTGTCATTTTCTGTGCCTTGTATTTACTGAATCCAGGGGCTCTTCATACACTGGGTAGGTGTGCTACCACAGAGCTATACCTTTAGTTACTTTTAAAACAATGGGAGAAATGATAAAAGGCTCCAACCATTTTCACTAAACATTCAGAAGCATTACCATTACTTATATTGTAATTCATTCATTAACTTGGAAAACAGTGAAAAGGCATTTATAATGAGCTGTTAAAAAAAGTTCAGAGACTCAAGACGGTAAGATATTACAACTTAGGGAATGCTTCTAAATACTAGATATGAGTAAACAGAAAATTAACTTACCTGAGAACTCAATCTTAATTTCATTAACCCTCTTTAAAGAAAACAGCCCTTGGCACAGAGGTGCAGCAAAATAGCGTCTGCCTCTCCTCATTTATGCTCTGGGCTGTGGAAACATTAAGTTGTTTCTGCTTTAAAGCATCTTATAAGCAATTATTACAATATAAATTTTATTTTGTAGTTCTGAGGATCAAACATAGGGCCTCATGCATGCTAGTCAAACATTCTTACCACTGACTTACATCCCCAGGGCCCTTACAACCAAGCAGAGTTGAGGCCCTGAGTTCAAGTTTGTTACTGGCCCCTAAAAACAAATTAAAATATATAATTTCCCAGAAACCCAATTTACCTAATGGTAAATTTCTTTCTTTCTTTCTTTCTTTTTGGTAGGCCGTGGGGCTTGAACTCTGGGCCTAGGCGCTGTCCCTGAGCTCTTCAGCTCAAGGCTGGCGCTCTACCACTTGAGTCACAGTGTCACTTCTGGTTTTCTGGTGGTTTATTGGAGATAAGAGTCTCTGGTGGCTTATTGGAGATATGAGTCTCTCAGTCTTTCCTGCCCAGGCTGGCTTTGAACCTTGATCCTCAGATCTCAGCCTCCTGAGTAGCTAGGATTACTGGTGTGAGCCACCAGTGCCAGTGTAAATTTCTTCATACTGTAAATATCAGTAGTATTGTAAGTTACAGAAGGCAATTATCTGCTCTTTTCCTAACACAGCAATCAACAGAGAAATGACTTTCAGTCATCAGGTTCCCATTAAAATATTTCTGACTAGAGATATAGGTCAGTGGTGAAGCACTTGCCCAGTATGCATGGTGCTGGGTTCGATCTCCATTACTGGGGGGGAAAAAGTGTGTGGCTCCACTGAATTGTGTGGTCCAAAGTTCAAGAGAAAGAAACGGGGGGGGGGGGAGAACCTTGCGGCATGGCTCAAGGCCAAGTTCAAACCCTAGTAATGCCCCCCAAAAGTGAAAAATAAAAGCAGGGAGTAATGGGAAAAGGCTTCAAGGCAAACCAGAATTTGAAAATTCTCTGGGGTCCAATTTTGATAAAAGGGAATAAAACAAACAGTCAGTACACATAGGGAGCTGACAGCTTGGCAGGGGCTGGCAGACTGATCTGTACCGTTTTTGAGCAAGAATGACTTTTTACATTCTTAAAGGAGTTAAAAAACAAGCAATGTGAGATAGCATGTCACCCACAAAAATCAGTGTTTACCATCCGCTCTTTACAGAAAAAGTTTACCAACTTCTCACTTAGAACACCACAAGAAATCTGGATTGAACAGTGAATCCTTACGCACTCTTGGGCAGAAAGAAATCACATGACGACCAGCATCTTCCCTTAGGAAGATTTAGTCCAGAAAATAAACATCAAGCAAAATAAAGGAGATGGATGCAATGACAAATACTTATAATCCTAATCTTTGGGAGGCTGAGGCAAGAGCTCCGGAGTCTGAATTGGCCTAGGCCACCTGGTGAGACCCTACCTCAAACACCCAACAAGTAGGGAGGAGTCTTACACTTGTCTTTACAGATGAGATGTAAGGCTTGCTTTCGCTTTAAGTCAGTACAAGCAGAAAAGTTGGCAAGACTCCAAATACAATTAACTCGAAAAAATGAGGGACTGGAGGTGTGGCCCAAGTGCCAGCAGTGAGTAAGAAAGGGCAGAGTGAGACACCCTGTTCACGGCCAAGAACTGGTTAAAACAAACAAACACCATACTATGTCAAAAACCTATGCTAGACTCCAGCAATAAAACGATACAGTAAAAAGGAAAGATTTATAGTTTGAGGAAACAACACAGGCGAGGTTCTCATTTCAGTACCCAAGTAACTCTTTCTCCTGTATAAGGACTTTGTAGAATCATACAGATGAAATCAGCAACAGCTAAAACAATACTTCATCTCCTTGTGGTATGTCTACTAGTAATATACGGTACCATTTGATAATGATACACAATATGAACATTTTTTTGTTTTCAGCATTACTCTTCCATCCTTAATGACTATTTCAGATTAGTCTATTACATGCCTAGTGCTATCTTACATCTAGAAAATAAAAGTACTAGGTACCAGTGCCTGTAATCTGAGCTACTCAGGAGACTGAGATCTGAGGATCACAGTGCAAAGCCAGCCCAGGCAGTAAAGTCAAGAAACTTTTATCTCCAATGAACCACCAAAAAGCAAAAGTGGAGCTGTGGCTCCAGTACTAGAGCACAAGCATTGAAAAAAAAAGTTCAGGGACAGCACGCAAACTGAATTCACGTCCCAAACCAACACAAAACTTTAAAAAGTACTTGAGTCAGACGCCAGTAGGTCACACTTGCAACCCTAGCTCTCAGGAGGGTGAGATGTGAGATTGCGGTTTGAAGCCAATTGGAGGAAGAAAGTCCATGAAATTCTTATCTCCACTAAAATTACCAAAAAAGCCAGAAATGTAGCTGTACCTCAAATGTTCAAGCACTAGCCTTGAGCACAAAAACTCAGACCGCGCCCAAGCCCAGAATTCAAGCCTTAGCACTGGCACCACAAAAAAAGTACTTGAAATCCGAACCACAGATACATGTCATTGATTTTCTTCTTACTCTGTAGCTGGCCTACATCTTGCAATCTATCCTTTTCAGTCTCCAAAGTGCTGAGATCATAGGCATGCCCAGTCTCACTTACTATTCAGAGCACCAAAAGTAGACCTGAAAACAACTTTTTTCTAGGTAAGATAGCACTGGGCCCAGGCACTAAGTTTTCAGTCAATGGTTTATTTGGCTCCCTATGTAGCAGCATGAAAGCTGGCAAGAGAAAAATCACTAGCTGACACAGGGTATTAACCAGTTATTTTTATCTGAAAAATACTAAAGAACAAAAACCATCCTACCACTAAATAGATATGAAGTGTTAAACTTATTTCCACGAAGACATTTTATAGTATGTATAATGGAGATAACTAGAAAAAAAATTAAATCAAACAGCACCACTACTCTGAACATGTAAGCTTTATTTTAACTTAGTAGATATCTAGATTTAACAGTACTAACTATAAAACAGCTTTCTACTTATTATTGTGTAAATCCATAAGTCACCTTTGTCCCCTCCACTTTATCTTGAAAACCCTGGTAGGGCTTGTAACATTATTCTAATCATTATTCCAGTGCAAAAAAGTATTCTAGGCCACTTCTCCAAGGGTTTGTCTTTTTATTGGAAGAGGCACTGCAGAAACAAATGTTTTTCACTTTCTAAACTACTGAAGCCTAGGAAAAAGTAACACTACTTTTTACTTAAATGTATACTGAGGTCCAAAACACCAAGCAAAGAAAAAAGTCAATCAGATCTACAAGTAACCAGCAACCCCGCCAGCCATCCCTGTGAAATCCTGTCAAGAAAATTCAATTAGGTGTGGGGAATGGAAGGTAAAGGCGGAAAGACCATTCAGCCTTTTCTACTTTCCGATGATTAGTAACAGTTAACCTGTCATCTGACAGCCTTATTTGTTTCTGGCCAGTAAAAAAAGGAGTCAAGCACACAATAACGTGATTCATCAGAAACGGGTATCTTAAGCGGGAATGGTAGCTCCTATCCAGGTGGACGAAGGAGTTCTGAAGTTCAAAGACACAAGGCTGGAGACAGGACTTGAAAGTGCTTCTCAAAGGCTTCCCAGGTCGCCTAGGCAGCCCTGGAGCTGGGACCTGGGCAGCGCCCAGACCGGCGGCACCCGGCGTGTGCTCCGCGGCGAGCTCAGGGCCCCCAGCCGAGGACCGAGCCCGGCGGGGTGGCCGGACACGGCCTCTCACTCGGTGCACGCCTGCAAGCGCAGGCTTCTGGACTCCACACGCCTTTTTAAAACAACTTTTTCTAGACGCTTCTCCCCGCTGCACACAGAAGCTTCTTAAGCCCTGAGAAAACTCCCAATCAATCGCTGGCCACAATCAGCTAAGCTGGAGCCTCCCCAGGGCCCCAAGGAGCAGGGGGGCTGGCAAGGAGATGGGAAAAGTTCCGGGGGGAGAGGGGGAAGGAAATCCCTGCGGCTCCCCACCCCTATCCACACGGCCCGACCTCCCCCTCCCTACGCCAGGGAGCCATGATGGCGGGTGCAGACGAAGGCCGCGGCGCCATTTTGTCCACACGGGCGGACAACAGCTTTGGGAACCGTTTCCCCACTCTTTTAGAAAATAGCAGGAAAAAGGTCCCCGGTTTTAAACCCCCGAGTCTGGTACTTACCGCCATGGTTGAGAGTCCCAGCCGCTAAGGCGGCGCCTCCACTAGCCGCGTTCAACAGTACCGGCCACCACCAAGCTTCGCCACGGACTAAATAGCTCGCGCGAAAGACCCGGATGGCACAAAAGCGACGAGGCCCGTCCGGTCGCGCAGCTTGCTGGGAGGAAAAAAAAAGGGGGGAGGAGGGAGGTGGTGATAAGTGTTTCTATAGCAACGCGATACGAGGTGGTGATTGGTTGGTCTTCCGAAGAGCGCCCAAGAAGGGCGTGTCCAAGAATACTCCCGAGAATACTCGCTGGGCGCGTATGGAAATGAACGCGATCTAGGGTGGGGCCGCTTCCTCGTTCGCGTGTTTACTAATTTTGGCCTCTTCCAGTCGCCGTAGCAGGGGGTTGGCCCTGGCGTGTTCCCGCCAATTCAAACCCACGGCGCGGAACCTAGTTTGGGGGGCGGTTGTGAGTTAGGAGGAGAAGCCTGGGGGCCGGCGCGTTCCTTTGTAAGTCTCTTCAGTCCCAGGTGAGGGGGGCAGGTGCGCAGTCGCCGAGAGCTCGGTGTTGCTAGCGGGGAGTGGGAATCATCCAGCTCCAGCCCCTTTTGAGGTGTTTCGCGGGGAGGAGGATGGAATGGGTTCTGTCAGTCCGTCCGAGGAGGGCACTGATAGGTGGAAGCGTCGCTGGCAATGTCTCGGTTGTAATGTTAGATTCGCTAATGCGTTCTTCCGCCCGTTGTGGGTGCTGTCAAAATGTCGCAGACGCTCTCGCAGGTTAGCTTAGTACCCTCCCCGCCCTCGCCTTGCTCCGAGGGGAGGATCCAATCTCCAGCCCGGCCTCTCCCCCTCCGTCTTCTAGAAGGCCGCCGACTCATCCCAGCTCGGAGGCCCTGTTCCCCGGACAGCTTCACTGTCCCCCTTCAGCTTGGCATAGTTGGCTTCTTGTCATTCAGGCCTCCGCTCAGAGGGTTCCCCCTTCCCTCCCCAAACAGGCCCATAAACCGACTCTCCCAGTTCCTCTGAGCTCTCTTCCTTCAAAACAGTAAGCACTGTTAGGGAGCATTGGTGAATTTTAAGTCTATTGTGTATATCTATTTATTTTGTATATGCCACCACTGGTATTGAACTCAGGGCCTGACCTTTTTTGCTCAAGGCTGGTGCTCCACCACTTGAGCAACAGCTCCACTTGTGGTTGAGTGTGTGTGTGTGTAATTGGAGATAAGACTCTCACAGACTTTCCATCCTCTTGATATGTGTGCATCTTTTTATTATTATTATTATTATTTGGTTGGTCTTGGGGCTTGAACTCTGGGCCTGAGCGCTGTCCCTCAGCTCAAGGCACTTCCGGTTTTCTAGTGGTTTATTGGAGATAAGAGTCTGACGAACTTTCCTGCCCGGGCTGGCTTTGAACCAGGATCATCAGATCTCAGCCTCCTGAGTAGCTAGGATTACAGGCGTGAGCCACCGGCGCTCGGCTGTGTGCATCTTTTATATTGTTGGGAGGCACTCTAACAATTAAAAGTGGACATAGACTTAAGTCCACTTATTTGCTCTTTATGTGCTTTAGGTGACTGGTCAATTATTTAACTGTCCTGTGTTCCTAAACTTTAAAATGTATTGGGCAGATTAAAGGAATAAAACATTAAAATTTCTAGACACAAGAACATATGAAATATGGTAACTTTTTGATGTGCTTTCCACAAGATTATAAACTTCATAGGGCAGGGGTGGGAAGGTGGCTCAGTGGTAGAGTGCTTTCCTCACATGCATGAGGCCCTGGGTTCAATTCCTCAGCACCAGGGCTGGGAAGGTGGCTCAGTGGTAGAGCGCTTGCCTTGCATGCATGAGGCCCTGGGTTCGATTCCTCAGCACCACATAAGCAGAAAAAGCTGGAAGTGGTGCTATGGCTCAAGTGGTAGAGTATACTAGCCTTGAGCTGAAGAGCTGAGGGACAGTGCCCAGGCCCAGAGTTCAGAAGGCACCATGACTGGCAACAACAACAACAATTCCTCAGCACCATATGAGGATCGTGGTTCAAAGCCAGCCCCGGCAGGAAAGTGCGTGAAACTCTCCCCCCCCCCCCTTCCCCCATCATGGGGCTTGAACTCTGGGCCTGGGCACTGTCCCTCAGCTCTTCAGCTCAAGGCTAGCACTCTACCACTTGCTATAGCCCCACTTCCGGTTTTCTGGTGGTTTTATTGGAGTTAAGAGTTTCACAGACTTTCCTGCCCAGGCTGGCTTTGAACCTCGATCCTCAGATCTCAGCCTTCTGAGTAACTAGGATTACAGGCATGAGCCATTGGCGCCTGGCCGTGAAATTCTTTTTTTTTTTTTTTTCAATCATGGGTCTGAACTCCGGGCCTGGACACTGTTCCTTAGCTCTTAGCTCAAGGTTAGTGCTCTACCATTTGAGCCACAGAGCCACTTCTGGCTTTTTTTGTTTATGTGGTGCTGAGGAATCGAACCAGGGCCTCATGCATGCAAGTCAAGCACTCTACCACTGAGCCACCTTCCCAGCCCCGCAGCCATGAAATTCTTTTTTTTTTTTTTTTTTTTTTGGGTCCGGTCGTGGGGCCTGAACTCTGGGCCTGGGCGCTGTCCCTCAGCTCTTCAGCTCAAGGCTAGCGCTCTACCACTTGAGCCACAGTGCCACTTCCAGCTTTTTTCTTTTTGCTTATGTGGTGCTGGGGAATCGAACCCAGGGCCTCAGGCATGCAAGGCAAGCGCTCTACCACTGAGCCACCTTCCCAGCCCCCGTGTGAAATTCTTATCTCCAGTAAACCACCAGAAAACTGGAAGTGGTGCTGTAGCTCAAGTGGTAGAGCGCTGGCCTTGAGCTGAAAAGCTGAGGGACAGTGCCCAGGCCCAGAGTTCAAGCCTGACGACCGACAAAAATAAATACTGTGAAATGTTTAATGGACTTTAAAACATCTACTTTGAGCTATCCCAAGAAGTGTGATTTCAGAAACAAGGTTCTTTATTGCTTCATTAATTAAAGATTTGTTTTGATTAAAAACTTGGTATAATTTCAAGCAGTTTGAGCACAGGAAATATTAGAAGCTCTGAGATAACAGAGTAAATTCAGACTTGTTGGTTTGTGTTTATAAACCAATGTGATGTTTTCTGGTGAAATTCATGATCTATTTTCATTTATTTTATTGGTCCAAAGTATCTAGTGAGCATAGAAATAATACACAGACTCTTCCAAAGTATTGATATGTTTTGTTTTTGTGTTTTGAGCAAGCCTTTTCATTTTCCAAGGAACTAGATTCTGTTTTGTACAAGAGAATGTGGACTGTATTTTTACATGTTATTATAGGGAAGACAGAACCTACTGACTCAGAAAGACAATCTTGGCAACATGTGGAATGATATTGAGCTACTAACAAGTGATGACACCGGAAGTGGCTATCTGAGTGTTGGTTCAAGAAAAGACACTGCTTTGTACCAAGTAGATTTGCTTGTGAAAATCTCCTCTGAAAAGGTAGTGTTTTTCACACTGACTGGTTCACTCATGAATGTTACAATACGATATATGAAATTGTGCCTTTTAGGCCTAGAAGCAAGATAAATGTTTTAAGAATGAATAGATTTCATTCACTTATTCATTAATTCGATATATTTATTCATTTATAAGGGAACATATATTCATTGTGATTCCCGCAGATTTGTTTCCTTGAGTACTAGAGACTGAGCATTATAGGCAAGTGCTCCATTACTCCATGATGGCTCCTAGCTGTTTTGTTACTATGTTTTGATTTTTGCTCTAGGACAGTGCTCTACAACTTGAGCCAAGCGCCGCTTCCAGCTTTTTTCATGCTTAATTGGAGATGAGTCTCCTAGTCTTTCCTGCCCTAGCTGGCTTAAAACTGGGATTCTCAGATCTTAGCCTCCTGATTAGCTAAGTGCTTGCACCTAGCCTGGATGATTTTTTTTTTCTTTTTTTTGTCTGAGACCAGGACTTTTGGTTTTCCTCATTGGCTAGCACTCTACTACCTGAAACCAGACCTACCTCTCATTTTGGTCAGGGCCTGTGTGCTGTCTCTGAGCTTTTTCACTCAGGGCTAGCTCTCTATCACTTTGAGCCATAGTACCATTTCCCATTTCCTGGTAGTTAATTGGAGATAAGAATCTGACAGACTTTCCTTCCTGAGCTAGCTTTGAACCTCTATCCTCAGGTCTCAGCTTCCTGAGTAGCTAGTATTACAAGGTATGAGCTACTGGTCCCTGGCTCACAGATGATTTTTTTTTTTTTTTTTTGGTTAGTTGGGGGCTTGAACTCTGGGCCTAGGCGCTGTCCCTCAGCTCTTCAGCTCAAGTCTAGCCCTCTACCACTTGAACCACAGTGCCACTTCTGCTTTTTCTGTTTATGTGGTGTTGAGGAGTCAAACCCAGGGCCTCATGCATGCGAGGCAAGCATTCTACCACTGAGCCATCTTCCCAGCCCCTACCAGATGAATTTTTAAGATATACCATACAAAGAAAACCTTGATGTTTAACTAACTAGATAGACTGAAAAAAAAATGTATTGTCTGGTGACATTTGGAAGTTGGATGTTTGAGTATATGAGAATACTATTGATAAATGTTATTAAACTTGTGTAAATATATTAATTTTGATTATGGTTTGCCATCCTGTAGGCCTCATTAAATCCAAAGATAAAAGCATGCAGCTTAAATGATGGGTTTATAATTGTAGCTGACCAATCAGTGATACTACTGGACAGTATTTGTAAATCACTTCAATTGCATCTTATATTTGGTAAGTCTAATATATTGCAACACGTTGAAAGTTAAATATATCTTGCTTACAATTTCTGGCTGGTTTTAACCCAAATTGTTTCTAAGAATTAGAATTCAATGAATTTCAAGAAAATGTTGAGTAGTTTTCTCTTGTTGGGCACTAGACTCAAAAGATACTGAGATAGTTTTTCCCTCAGTATTTTTCAGGGGAACATACATTTAAAACAATAACTAACAATAACTAATTTTACTTGTATGGTTTGTGTGTTAGCATACATCGGGGCCCATTTGTGTTCAAGTACTTGAATCTTAGACATATTTTCAATATTATGGGCAGGTATTTAAATGCTTTTTTAGGATAATACTATTATAAAAAACTTGACAGAAACTTAAGCATTAATTCTTAGAATTA